CCTGCCTGCCTGCCTGCCTGCCTGCCTGCCTGCCTGCCTGCCTGCCTATCTATCTATCTATCTATCTATCTATCTATCTATCTATCTATCTATCCATCCAACGTCTGTCTGTCTGTCTGTCTATCTATCTATCTATCTATCTATCTATCTATCTATCTATCTATCTGTCCCTGCCAGAGTGCCTGCCATCTGTCTGTCTGTCTGTCTGTCTGTTTATCTATCTATCTATCTACTAACTATACCTGCTTGCCTGCCTCCTGTTTGCCTACCTGCCTGCCTCCCTCCCTATCTATCTCACTCCTCTTTTCTTGCATTGTGTCAAAGAAGTAAATATTTTCCCTAACTTTGGCTGTATCAACAGTTGTTCATGTTGCTTTTTAATATGTACTTCTTGTAGGCAGATTATATCAAATTTTAATTTCTCTAATTTATGGAAAGTTTTCCTTCTTTTAGCAGCTGAATTAAGTCCGTTTATGTTAATTGTAATCAGCTTTTTCTCTTCCATGTTTATACTTTATAATTAGGTTTAACAGCTCTTGTAGATCTTGGTTCACGTTGTTCCTTAACTTCCACCTTTCCGCCTAATACACCTTCTTTTTCAGTCGCTATTTGGCAATCCTCTTGGAATTCAATTAGTGGCATTTCTTTTTCTGTCTCCTCCTCTCTCCCTCCGAAGTATTCAGTATAAAACGATTCAGCTTTCTCAATTGAGTCAATTCTGTGTCTCTGTTCTTGCCATGTGAACATTAAACCTTCTGGAATCAGCCATCTATAATTCACCTCTTTTTTAAGTAGGATTTTAGTCAGGAATCGGTATTCTCTTCTCATTTCTCTCACTCTTCTAGGCACTTGTTTCAGGACCACAATCTCCTTATCTGTATATTTCAATGTTTTCTCTCTTGCCACCTGTAATATTTCTGTTTTAATGGCTTTCTTTGTAAATCTGATGTGAACTTCTCTTGGTAAGCTATTTCTCATTGCATATCTTGTGAAGACTCGAAAAACCTCGTCTATTCCATCCATCATCTTCTCTTTGGTTATTTCCAGAGCTTCAGCCAAGATTTCTATCATTATCTCAGCTAAGTTTTGTCCCTTTTCTTCCTCTATGTTTTGAAATCTGAGATAAAATTCTGATCTATCCATCTCCCATCTCAGCACCCCACTTTTATCTTGTTCAACCACTGTTAATCTGTCATCAATATCTCCAATCTTCTTATCTCTTTATCTTCTTCAATTTTTTTTGAATTTCTCATCATACTTCATCATCATTTGTTGAATATTCTCCCCCTTTTCATCAGTTTTTTCTATTCTCCTTTCAATATTCTCTGTTCTTGCTTGTGCGCTTTGAATTCCTTGCATTATCATCTGAAATGTCACCTTTTCCTGTTCTTTTTCTTGCTGTAACATCGTCTGTATTGAGCGGTGTCCTCCAGATGGTGAAGAGGAAGAAGTAGGAATTGAAGAACCATTAATTTCCTGCTCATTTTGGACAATTCAAAATCTTCAGGTTCTTCTAAACCTTAATCCACTCCTGAAATAGCCAATTGTAAATCCAAGTAAAAATAGTGGAAAAGAAGAAGCAAGGTAGAAAAAAAAAGATTTCTTCAGGTTCTTGTATACCTTAATCCAATCGCTTAGTAAAATAGCAGTAAAAGCTCAAAAAAGGAAGAGAAAAAAAAAACCATAAACAGAGAAAGGAAAAAAATGTTAAATCTTGTAAAAGGCAGAAAAATAAAAATTAAAAAAACTAAAAAGAAAAAGGAATTTCTTCAGGTTCTTCAACACCTTAATCCAATTAGAGAGTCTCAGGTATGAAAAAGTATACCAAAAAAAAGGAAGCCACAAAAAAAACCAATATGGAGGGTAGATAAAAAAATGCAGGAGAGGGAGAGAGAGAAAAAGAAAAAGCCTACTCCCTTAAAAAAAAAAAAGGAAAACATTAATACTAAGGCTTTCCCTTTAAAATAGAATGCAAAAGTAAAAATTAGGCTCCAAAAGCAAAAAGAAAGACAAAAGCAGGTTCCAAGAGTCCAGAGATCCAAATAACTATTACAAATAATAAGCTGATAAGGAGGGGGTGTGAGGAATAGCCCAACTTAAAAAAGAGAAAAAGAACACACTGCACCTGTTTAGTTATCCCAGGCTTTTGTTAATTTTTATAGCTCTCTTCTCTAGAATTTTATCATCTTTTTTCTGTATACTTCAACACCAGACTCCAGATACTGATAGAAACCCAGAAGAGCACCTGCAGTAACACTCTCCCATGCTCTTCCCGCTATCTTATCAGACAGGCTCAAAGTCCTTGAAAAGAAGTCTGAATTCTTTCTCAGCTTTGTCTGGTCGAAAGAAAAAAAGAGAAACAATATTTCTAAGCCTCTAGTTGGCAGTGTTACAAAGTTTCCTCTGTTTTCACTTTCCCCCTCCTTTTCCAAACAAATTATTATTAAAAAGTTAATTAAAAAGTAAAAAAAGGGTTTCAAAAAAAAAAAGGCTAAAAGGGGATCTCTAGCCTAAAATATTGTAAAGACAAAAAGAAGAAACAAAAATGAAAAATAAGATAGAAAAAAAGACCAGTCCAGTTCAAAGTAAAAAAATCATATAGAAAGAGTCCAGCAAAAAAAAGAAAAAGAAAAAATTAATTTGACTTCCCGTTTGAAATTGCTGCTTAATTACTTCTGTCTGAGATTTTACAGATTCTTTCTTTTCCTTAGGGTGTCCTTTCAAATCTTAAAGTAAAGAAAATCTTCTCACCAAACCGGCACACTTTCTCTTTCTATCCTCTTCCGTTTCGGAGCTGTCCCAACTTCAGCAGCTTTAATGGCTGCCTCTTTGCCGCTGGCAAAAAGAGCTTCTCCTGGATCTACCAGGGACTTTGCGGTATACCTGGGACTGACAGGATGCGCTCTTTACATTCACCGTCTCTTCGGGACGGTTTAGATCCGTTTGGACCGTCCAGGAGCAAAGATATCGGCAGCAATCTCAGACCTCCAAGATCGCATGCCGTATCGTCGAGACGCCAGCTCCGTTCCCCCCCCCCCCTTTTATATAAGGATATAAAAGACATTATGAATAGAAGATTTGAGGACATTTTGAATAAAATACAGAGCATGCTAGAAGATATGGAAATGGAGACGCAAATAACAGAAAGAAAACAGGAGACCCAGGAAGAGGATGAGCCAATTGGAAGAGTAACCAGAAAAACAGAACAGACGGAACAACAAAGAAAAAGAAATGACAAAAAGGAAATAAAATTAAAAATGACAATGATTGATGTAATAAACCAAGGGGAGAGTACGTTAAGAGCAAAGCAACAGGGATTGGAATTTCAGGAAGAATTTCTTGGGAGAAAGATAGGGATAACAGTAGATAATCTGAAAATGAGACAATGGAATATAACAGAGAAGGGAGGAATGAATAAGAGCAATGGTCAAAAAATGATAAAGATGAAAACTTAAAAGAGGAATATGGGAGACAAGCGAGGAAGCAATTAATTAAAGCTTTAATGAGAGTGAGAGACGATGGCTACAAGGGGAAAAGGATTATGATTCCACATAAATGTGTGTATTATTACTTAAGATATATAATTACTAACTGTAATAAACATGAAAATTAATATTTTATTGTAGGAAAAGAAATGATATGTGGAATCTGATGGACATAAAATAATATAGTGAAATATAGCATAAGATAAAAGTAATTATATTATTATTAGAATTGTATAATTTTCTAAACATAAATAGGATGAATACTATTTTGTTTGTATTAAAATGTGACTAGAAAGGGATTTTGCCTTAAATATAACAGTGGCACAACCAAGAATCAAAAAGGGGATAAATAATGGAAAATATACATTTAATATGAATTTATGAATGGTTATTAGAATTATATATGATGGAAAATTTTAAAATCCAAAAAGGCACGAGGCAAGACTGTCCATTATCCCCACTTCTGTTTATACTAACGCTAGAAGTATGAACAAGGTGTCAACTAAGGTGTCACAACCAAGGTGTCACTCCTTTGGTCTTTTGAGCTGCCAGAAAAAGGGAGTGGGGGAAAACAAGGCATTCTTGAAATGCCTAGATAATCACCTCGGTAGCCCAAAGTTGTCGGAGCATAAGAAGGTTACTGGAGAGCATGAAGGATGACTCTTGGAAACGGATGTGTCCCATTGGAGAGGTCACATTCAGGGGGTGGGGGAAAGACCAGGGTCAAGGGGGAAATGTAGGATGTGATTTAGTATCAGCTGCACCCAGCCACGCGCCAACATGGCAATTTCTAATAAACCAATTTACTTTTTCTGAGATGTGGTTAGAGACTTTTGATTTGAATGAGGGTGGTTTTGTTGGAGCCCTGACACAAGGATAATTAGAAAAGAAACATCAATAAAAGGCCTAGAAATTAAGAAAGAAATATTCAATTTACAAGCCTTCGCAGATGACTTGCTCTTTATTCTGGAAGAACCAGAACAATTGGGATCAAAACTTATAAAAATATTAGAAGAATGTGGAGAAGTTGCAGGACTGAAAATAAACAAAGGGAAAGCTAAAATAATTACTAAAAATATGACAAACAAAAAGAATCATGGACTAAGATAATGGGCATCCAGATAAGTTAACAAAATAAAATATTTAGGAATTCAAATATCGGCAAGATACACAATTAGAGAAGGTAATTATGGTACATTAATGAAATATATATCAGAAGACCTGGAAAGATGGGGAAACCTAAGGTTATCTTTTATGGGTAGAATAGCCGTAATAAAGCTGAATGTCCTTCCAAAACTACTCTTCCTCTTTCAAAACATACCGGTAAAATTAGACAAAAAGTTCTTTGGCGAATTAAACAAAATAACACTAAATTTTATATGGCAAAAGAAAAAATCCAGGATTAAACTAAAATTGTTACAAGATGCCAAAGAAAGAGGAGGCTTTGGTCTTCCGAATTGGGAAATATGTTATCAGGCAGCATCTCTTACCTGGGTAAAGGACTGGATAACATTAAAAAAATAGAAGATTGTTAGCATTGGAAGGACATAATCTGCAACTAGGCTGGCATGCCTTTCTATGGTATGGCAGACATGATGCCCACTGATATTTTCAACGACATCAGATTAGACAGGCACTACTTTTGGTATGGAATAAAATCAAACAACAAACATACATAGAAACCCCAGTTTGGCTATCCACACTCGAAGCTTTAGTCCACCCAAATTTCTTCAGTCAGGGGAAAGTCATCACATATAAAGACATCATAAATGAGGCAGGAGAATTAAAATCAAGACAGGAACTAAAAGATCAAGGAGTAGAATTGGAATGGTGGGCTTACCTACAAGTTCAATCAAGATATAGACAAGATATGAAAAAATGGGGGATCAGTAGACAGCCTATGATATTGGACAAAATATTACTTGGATCAGAGGACAACATGAAAAGGAAAATCTATAGATGTTTATTGGATTGTAAGCTGGAGGAAGAACAGGTAAAAGAAACGATGTTGGCATGGGCAAAAAAAAATGGGCATGGTATCGATTTGGACAATTGGCAAACTTTATGGGAGAGAAACAAAAAAATAACATTTGCCACATCGTATAAGGAAAACCTATATAAAATGTTTTATAGGTGGCATCTTCCTCCAGCAAAATTGTCTAAAATGTCTCAAAATATATCACCTAACTGCTGGAAATGCACCAAAGAACATGGTTCATATTATCACATATGGTAGAGATGTAGAAAAAACCAGGGATTTTGTCAGAGAATTCAGAGGTGGCTTGAGGAGATGGTAGGGCATAAAGTGGCATACAAACCAGAATTTTTTCTTCTTGGAATTATAACAGAAAAATACAATAAAGAAGAGATCTATTTAATGATACATGTGATTATGGCAGCAAGACTAACTTTTGCTCAAACGTGGAAAGACAAAGAAATTCTCTAGGAAAATGACATAATAAAAAAGATATGGACGTGCGCTGAGATGGATAAACTAACTTTTGAGGTGAAAGATAAAGAAGAGATAGAATACTAAAGTATGGGATAAATTCTATCAATGGGGGGGGGGAGGAAAGGTCTAGAATCAAAAGTGAATAGGCTTGGCAGAACGGATGACTAGAATTGGAAACTATTGCATAAATATACAGATGTATAAATGTAGATATGTACATAAAATATGTATTCTATGCCATAACATGTATGACGAATAGGATTGTCAGAACGATCACACCACGTCCAATGTTTTTAATAATTTACTTAATAAAATTTTGTAAAAAAACCAGAATTATATAATTTGTTAAACACTGCAAATATGACTATTAATATAGTATCTATAATAAAAAGGGATGTTAAGAATATAGAGACTGACACAAAAATAACATATGGTAATATTGAATAATTAATTTAACAAAATATGTGTATTAAAATTAAATGATATAAGAATGTCAACAAAATGTATGGGATACAGCGAAAGCATATATGAGGGGATTAGCTATAACTTATATTACGAGAAAAAATAAGAGAAAGAAACAATATCAAAAGAATCTAGAAGAAGAATATAAAAGATGTGAAGCAGAGTTACAAAAAGAACCACAAAAGGTGAAATTAAAAAATCAAACGGAGTTAATTAAACGCAGGTTAAATATAATGGAAAAAGAAGAATTGGCACAACAAATAAAAAAAAGCAAAACATTTTTTTTGAAAATGCTAACAAACCTGGAAGATGGCAAATGGAAGATGGCAAATGGAAAAGAAAAAATATATAATTCAGGAATTTGATAAGAAGTTATATGATCAGGAAAAAATTCCTGAGGAAAAAATAATACAATACTTGGGGAAAGTTAATTTACCAAAATTGCCAGAAACTGTGAAGAATATGTTGAACAAAAGAATAACAATGGCAGAATTAGTAGAGGCGGTTAAAAGACAAAAGAACAACAAAACACCAGGTCCAGATGGCCTAACAGTAGAAATTTATAAAGATTTATAAGACACATTGATCTTGTCAATGTTAGAAGCATATAATGTTTCATAAGTTTAGAAGTTTTACCAGAAGGAAAGATACCATATAGTTGGACAGAAGCTAATATTACCTTAATTCCAAAAGAAGATTCAGATTTAACACAAATAAAGAACTATAGGCCAATATCTTTGCTAAATGCAGACTACAAAATATTTGCCTCAATAATAGCTGAAAGACTTCAGAGATTTCTGAATGAGTTTATACTGTACTTTCTGACCAAAATGGGTTTCTACCTAAAAGACAAATTCGAAACAATGTGAGAATAATTTTAGATACACTGGACTACTATGAAGTACATTGTGAAAAACAACTAGCATTGATCTTCTTAGATGCTCAAAAAGCATTTGACAATGTAAATTGGCAATTTACGGTGCAACAACTAAAATGTATGGACTTTGGAGATTTATAAACATGATTAAGGCAATTTACACAAACCAGAGAGCAAAAGTGATTGTGAATGGAGATGTGACAGAAAACTTCCATATATATAAAAAAGGCACGAGACAAATAAAATAAGAAGAGTATAAACTACAAGCATTTGCAGATGATTTAGCTTTTATATTAGAAGAACCATTAGAAATTGGCATCAGACTGATAGGGAAAATTGAGGAGTATGGCGAAGCTGCAGGATTGAAAATAAATAAAGAAAAAACTAAAATAATAGTTAAAAATCTTACAGAAAAAACGAGAAATGAATTGGCAAAGAAGGTAAACCTTCAGATAGTAAAGAAAGTGAAATATTTAGGAATCTATCTAACAGCAAGATGTGTAACAATTAAAGCAGTGGTGGGATTCAATTTTTTTTTACTACCGGTTCTGTGGGCGTGGCTTGGTGGGCGTGGCAGGGGAAGGATACTGTAAAATCTCCAGTCAGAGGTGGTATTTGCTGGTTTTCCGAACTACTCAAAATTTCCGCTACCGGTTCTCCAGAACTGGTCAGAACCTGCTGAATACCACCTCTGAATTAAAGAGGGTAACTATACAAAGTTAATGCAACAAATTAAGTCGGACCTGGAGAAGTGGAAGAACTTACAACTCTCAATGATAGGGAGAATAGCTACTATAAAAATGAACATACTACCGAAGTTACTTTTCCTATTTCAAACAATACCAATAAAACTAGTAGAAAAAATATTTTGAAGAATTAAATAAAATGACTTTGAAATATATTTGACAAGGAAAAAAAGCAAGAATAAAATTGAAAATGTTACAGGAGTTTAAAGGACATGGGGGCTTTGGGTTACTGGATTGGGAGCTATATTATCAGACATCTGTACTTACATGGGTAAAAGAATGGGTAAATTTGAGGCATAGAAGATTCCTATTATTGGAGGGACATGATCTCCAATTAGGATGGCATTTCTTTTTATGGTATGGAAGCAGCATGGCACACAGATATTTTCAAAGACACTATGTGAGGAATGCTTTATTTTTAGTATGGGAAAAAATCAAATCACAAAATTATATGAAAATACCAGTCTGGCTCTCTACAATGGAAGCATTGATACATCCAAATGTTGTTCATTTGGAAAAAATTGTAACCTATAAAGACACGTTAAATGAGAATGGAGAACTTAAAACTAGACAGGAATTACAAAACCAAGCGGTGGATTTAGCTTGGTGGCCACACCTGCAAATACAATTGAGATACGAGAAAGATGCGAAAACATGGTTTTTTTTAATAAAGAACCAACAATACTTGACAAGGTGTTATTAGGGACAGATGAAAAATTGATAAGGAAAATATATAATTATTTACTAAATTTTAAAAGGAAAGATGAATAAGTATGGGCAAAAATATTTGGCTATACGATAATGGCAAAAACTTTGGAATAGAAACTATAAACTGACAATGGCTACTGCATATAAAGAAAATCTTTACAAAATGTTTTATAGGTGGCATTTATAGGTGGCATTAATGATATTCCAATTCTTTTAGTAGTAATATATGCCCCAAATGGAGACCAAAATGAGTTTTTTAAACACCTATATGGAAAATTGGTTGAATTGCAAAAAAGAAATATTTGTATGGTAGGGGACTTCAACTCCATTGCTGATTTCCAAAATGATCACAGTAATGCCGGGAAGAATAAAAAGGGGAAGAGAGAGCTCCCCAAGATTTGTAGGGAAATGATGAAAGAGCTAAACCTGACAGATATATGGAGAAGATTACATCCTGAAAAAAGACAATTTACATTTTATTCAAATCCCCACCAAACATGGACACGGATTGATATGGCATGGATGAGTGGGGAGATAGCAAACGAGACAAAAGAAGTGGAAATTTTGCCTAATGAATGGGCAGACCATAATCCAATACAGGTAATATGGAAGGGCAGGGCAAAACCAAAGAAAAGATGGACCTTAAACACTCAATTAATAAGAGAGAAAGAATACATTAATAAATTAAAGGAGGAATTGAATTTTTTTATTAAAGAAAATGATAATGGAGAAACTACGAAACAAAATGTCTGGGATACGATGAAGGCGGTTATAAGAGGCACAACAATCTCTTATAATGCCAAGAGAAACAAGGAAAAATATTCCCAACAAAACAAATTGCAACAAAGAATTAAGGAGCTAGAAACCCTTCTACAAAATAACCCAAAAGAATCCAAACTGCAAAATCAGATAAGTATAGTCAAACACAAACTGAATTTAATTGATCAAGAGAAAATGACTATGAATTTGAACTTAACCAGACAAATCTATTTTGAACATGCCAACAAGCCAGGAAGATGGCTATCTTATAAATTGAAAAAAAAGAAAGAGAAGAGATTGATATACCAGTTAATAGATAGCAAAGGAGATACATACCAGGAAATAGAACAGAAAAAAGAAATTATTCATAAATACTTTGAAGATTTATACAAAAGAGAGGATGTCAGTGAAGATAGAATAAGGAATTATCTAGATGAAGTAAAGGATAAGGCAATTGGGGAAGAAATGGCTGAACTATTAAATAAAGACATTACTGAATCGGAATTGAAATCAGCAATAGAGAGCCAGAAAAATAATAAAACCCCGGGCCCAGACGGGATCCCAGGGGAGCTGTACAAGGCAATAGCAGATCAAATCGGACCACTTATGGTGGAAGTTTTTAATGACGTTTTACTAGCAGCCAGGATGCCGGACTCATGGAGGGGGGGCACTGATTTCGCTGATCCCGAAGGAGGATACAGATCCCAGATATATAAACAATTACAGGCCGATTTCACTCCTAAATACTGATTATAAAATATTCACTTCTATTATAGCAAACAGATTAAAAAGATTGCTAAACTTGTATATACATGAAGATCAAAACGGATTCCTTCCAACTAGGCAAATAAAGAATAATCTAAGAATAGTATTAGACGTACTAGAATTTTATGAAGCCCACCCAGAGAGACAAGTAGCACTCATGTTCCTAGATGCAGAAAAAGCTTTCGATAATTTGAATTGGCAATTTTTAATTAAAAAAATTTATAATTTGAATCTGGGTACCAAATTTGAAAATATTATAACAACTATATATGATACACAACAAGCTAATATAATAGTGAATGGGGAATGCACCCGCCCAATAAAGATAGAAAAAGGAGTGAGACAGGGTTGCCCACTTTCTCCCCTGCTCTTCATATTAGCATTAGAGACATTATTAACACGAATTAGGCAGAATTCAGATATAAAGGGATTAACAGTTAAGAAAGAGGAATATAAATTGCAAGCGTTTGCGGACGACATGATTTTCTTCCTTGAAGAACCAAAAGACAGGGGACCAAAATTGATGAGTGAATTAGAGAAATTTGGAGCAGTAGCGGGACTTAAAATAAACAAAAAAAACCCCAAATTAATGACCAAAAACCTAACAGAAAAACAGAAAATAGAACTAGAAGAAATAATGCATATACAAGTGACAAAGAAAGTGAAATACTTAGGAATTTGGCT